CGAGCGCCCCCGTGATACGACCCATTCACATCGAATGACTTCAGTGGGTAAAAAAGGAGAAATGTCATAAAACCTCATTCAATTGAAACTGGGAGGAAATGTGTCAGGCTCTAAAAGTCCCACGTGATTCAGCGGCAATGAGTATCTCATAAATGGATCAAAACAACTTCCTTCAAAAATCGAAAACGGATTATCGTAGATCGGTAATCAAACATTCAGTTATGGGATAAAAACAGCAGCGCAAATGTTTGTGATGTAAATAAATGAAGTACGTCGTGTATCCTGATAATTCCTATACTATAATTTGGGACTATTTATTTAATATAACCACTGACTCCTATCCCTATATGTAACCATATAAAGAGCAAGTGGTGGTCCTTTATAATGACGTTGGATGAAGCACGTGTCACGAATACCACGGCGCGCCTTGTGTCGAGGCATGTGATGGGTGTACAACGTGATAAGTGATCAGCCTGAAACGTGGTACTAGGGTATGAAAACATTGGCCCGGAGACTTGTTCACAAAGGTCACGACAGGCTTCTTGGATGAGGACATCAAAATCAGTGTTGGAGGCACTGAGTGATATGGCTGAGTGCCGTAAACAGAGGCGCTCGTGCATCCACTCATTATACTTGCAACCGTAGTCTTCATGTATTCTGTTTTTACTGACACTGATCGGAACATTTCAATCTTCCCTTTAGTCCTTAATCCAAATAGGCAGTATACAGTTATCACCAGCTTGCGAGCAAACTGCCAACGCGACAACAATAGTAACAGAGAACGGGATTTGGGACATAAAACAGAATGAAAAGGTGGTTAAACAGACACAGTGAATAACAACTCTTTTGTTTATTTCACGGTACATCCCTTGATATTCTTTGTGTTAACTTACTGTTCTTACGGAGCACGCGATTTCAACAGGCAGGCCGTACAGCAATCGCGCCACTGGCTTCTTTTCTGGCCCATATCTCTGAGCGTCTCTAACCAATAACCCGTGATCCTTGGGCCCCAGCCTGGAATGTGGGTTGCACCAACCGAAGCCACAGCGTAAGCTAGCTTCCGTTAACATATACCCCAATATCGAAGTCGATGGTCAGATATAGGCAAAACGTGACCAAGACATCGGAGGCTGTGTACAGCGATTATTTCTTTTAGAGAACGGCTATCTACACCCAACACACCACGACGACCCTCGACATTGCTCATCCGATGTTGCTACCGAACACGAGCAATGCTTGGGATACATCGGTGGTCGAATACACAAAGTCGATTCCCATCTTCAATGCAGCGGGGCCAAATCTCGCAATCGTAGAGCAGAACACTATAAACCGCAGCGATGCACATCCTTCCCTTAAGAGACAGTTGGATGCCATGGCGGCGCTATTGGTGTCGTAGATCGGTAAGAGTTACCCCAGATTTCGCTATTCGCAGTGTGACCTCCTCCCCAATATCATCCCCAGCTGCGATCAAGCTCCCAAAGTGCTTGAAGCTATCAACCACTTCCAACTGATCATCATAGAGGGTGAGTGCAGGCACTGGGTCCTGTCAGTCTTGAATAAGCACTTTGATGGTGCATCGCACATATACCTGGATACCCCTGATGTGAGGTACTACTCACAAATGTGAGTAGTATGCACAGTAGTGCGGTTGGCGGTATCCTTTAACGATCAAAAATTAACAAGACCACTGAGGGTGAATTGCTATGCCTCAAAGAATAACTACGGACTACTCCAGTCATTACCCGGTGTGCTGCCGGGAATTGCGATGGTATGTTTTAAATGAGATATCTGTTGCACGTATCTGTAATCTGCAACAAACAACTTCCCTCGACCAAGCACGGCCTTGCGGGATTATAACACCCCGATCGCCAAGCGATTTCAAGCGTGTTGGACTGGGTGTGTGTTGACAACCAAGGTGATGTCATAGGCATGTTCCATGTCAAGAACACCGTTCCCTGTGAGGAATTCTACCCCAACGTTTGCTAGACCAGACGAAGAATTCTACAGAACATCCGCTACGACAAAGTTGAACAGAAATGGGGACATGGGGCAACCTTGTCGCTCTTCACTGGAAACGGTGAAGGGTGAAAAAAGCTGGTCATGTGCCCCAACTCGACCTGAAATATGATGATACTACTCGTTGTGGATCGATAAATACTTCTTAGGCACTGCATTCCTCAACAAACAGCTCTATAGTGCTATCCTGTCGAGAGAGTTCAAGACCGCGCGCATGTCTGACAACACAATAATCGTTGATCTTTGATAAACACAAGGGTGCTTTAGTAGGTGTCGGAGGGTGAAGATTTGATCGATACATCTACGACCCAGTCTGCGCCTCACGCGTAGTGTACAACCTACGAAGAATGATAGACGCTAACAGCTTTCACGCTATTAGGATGAGGCTTATACCCCTCTGATTGGCGCAGTCAGTGTGCAGGTCTTCTCGAAGATGGGGGTGACAATCTACCCCCCCCCCCCCCCCCCCTATGACGGAGATACTTGATCAATGAGTCTGGTTTGAGAGAACAAAAGCATAAATTCTCTAACAAGCTTTAGTCTACGAGATGAATGGACAGTCGTGAGACTAACCGAAATCGTCGCATGGAAATGCATGGTTTATGGTTCTAAAAACTGAAACTGTTCGAACAAAACTAAAATTCTTTCATCGATCCTGAGCTCCGAATGAAGAATCGACGGTAGTAGGTTACTACCTAACACTTCAGTTGTACCCTAGCGCCAAATAATCTTACATTTCCGAGCTACCTTCCAGTACAGTGCACCCAAAACAGAAGAAGAAAGTACATTCAGCAGATAGGGTAAACTAACCTGCTTGTCAGCATGACTGACAGCCACTTCTTCCAAACAGGCACCAGGTAGTCGCGATTCCCCAGAGGTGTGCGAGGTGTTACAGGCAAGAACAAGACCGACATTTCTATCATCCGGCCGAGTTGGTGCCCGCGAAAATTGTGAGTGAGCGATGACTGGCACGAGCTTGGAATCTGTGTAACTTGAATAGGAGTACGGACGGGATGAGGAATTTACAACACGTTTTGGGGACCTTTCTGTAGACCAACATCGTCCATCAGAAGTACCAGCAGTTTTGTTAGATGTGAGTGAATTCAGATGCGGTGTGCTTGCTTGTCGTCCATAGACAGTTGCTTGCAATTCACCATCCGCATCCTCGTAGTCTTCGTCGTCCGGTGGTTCACTGGGGGTTCGCGGACCACGTTCAGAAATTAGGTTATCGGAATTCCGTAGCAGACTGGCTTTGTTTAAAAAGGACTCGAGATCCTGATCTACGGCACTGCGAATGGCGGTCGGAGATGTACGCTCTGCAGTTTGGGTCGATTCTGTTGAAACAGGCGTAGGAAGACGAAGTTGATCGTAGTACTTTGGTAGTTCTTCCAAGAGTAACCCAGGATCAACCAAGCCGGGAGGAAGAATTGCTTCCAACTGATGAACGGCAGACGACTTTACTGAAGAATGGGTCTGTTTTGATCCGTCTATATCGGGTTTTACAGAATTGGCAGCGGAGGAAGTGGAAGATAAACCTCGCCGACGCCGATACTCCGACAAAGAGACGCGCACTTTCCGCATTTCCTGTTGACGCAACTGCTCAGCTTGCTGTTTCACTGTCGCCTTCTTCGGTGGTAACTACAAAGACCATACCAACAAGTAAAACAACATCAGGTACCTCAAAAAAGGGGATGTTGCATCACACAATCAACAAACAAGTGCGAAAGCGACCTATAATTACCGTGTTTGTTGGATAACGAAACCGAACCCAAATGCCATCTACGACAATTTTTGATATTAGTCCTGGTTAAGAACAGATTGATTCGTTAAAGTGAGAGCAAAGTGACGAAATACTGGCGAGTTATCGATGGTCGAAAGTATGACTGCGTGGCATTTGCAGGCTGATTCACCAAAAAGTGAACAAACGGCAAGGTAAGGTACCTAAGAGAGAGCTTTCTCGTTCGCCTATTCATTCGTGAAATACTTGCACTAGGGCAGAAAAGACTAATTTTTGACCGCTTTGTTGTTGACAGCCGCAAGGTCCAAATGTTCAATCCAGGACAAACTTTACCAGATATCACCAGCTACTACAAGATATACCCAACAGGTGACTTGCGGCATTCAACCAGACCGAATCTAATCTTTTCATCGATCAACAAAAGGGTCGAAATCAGTCAGTCGGGCGATAATGCATAAGCTGTACAGGCACATCGGTGAGTGAATGTCCGTTAGTAGAGTGGACGTCATTGGTGAGCACTTGATAACGAAGGGATGAGGATCGTAATTCAATGTGTCACTCGCCTCGTCGTTTTGTGTTCTCTTCTGGGAGAACCTTAAGGCGTTCTGAAAAACCAGTTTGAATTCTGAACGGTCGGAAATGGAGAACACACTACTACAAACTCAAGCGAGGAGTGGGAGAAGAAAATGTCTAGAAGCGGTCAGCAACTATTTTCTTAATTGAAAAATACCGTACGTGAACGGATTGCCGACAAGGGAGCAAAGACTGTGATTGAGCATAGCACTGCTGTTGAAATATTTGCCCAAGCTATTGCGCCAGATGAAGACACTCCTTAAAGAATTCAAAGCACCACATGGCTGTCTGGCGACATGATCTACTTCTAAGACGATCGACAACACTGCTCATACTACGCCGGCACCGGCATGCCTGTATTTTGTAAATGTCGTACAACTGGAAAAACCGATTACTGACTGCTATGGATGAAACTACTTTTGTGAGTGCAGGATTTTAAGCTACCAATGATTTCGTGTGAAACTCGTCTATTTGAAAGTAATTATGGTATCAGATGTCTCAACTGCCTGAGTGGATAGCATGTCATACAAGTCTGCCTTAGTTGAACTGACGGTGGTTCGCCGAAGTGATTGTCGCACCGGATATGCGCTTTTTGCTTCCGTACTTTTGGGGGAACAACACAAACTTTGTCATCGTGAAAGCTCCCTAGGCAGAAGCTACATGAGACGCTTGGTCGCACAGAAAAGTCATAATTCCACAAGGCGGAGCTCGGTCGAGGATAGTCGTTTATTCAGGATAACA